AATCAGTGATTTGTGGATTATACTGTCTGCACAAGTTAATTGGAGGGACTTGTGAGAATCTACTTCCCATACTCTCCTATCTATGGACTTTTATCACTTCCATATTTCACACACACACACACACACACACACACACACACACGCACATATTCTACTCAATAAGGTTCTGAAAACAAAAGATGGTTCCTAGAGGAGAAGAGGGTAGGAGGTGGTGGTGAAAGGAACAGATAGAGGAGAGTCTATTGGTTATTGGTGGAAGGTTGTTAGAATTTTAGTGGTAGGCATGGTGCAGTATCATAAATTGGAAAAGGTATGAAGTTGTATTCCTAAAACATATAAAAGTGTTAAAAAATGTATTTTCTGAGTTAAATAAAATATAAAATAGAATAAAATGAGGAGTTATTTCTGACTTTAATTTATAATGTCCATGCATGCAAAGCCAATAGCTACCTGGGGAAATTGTATTAAAAATCAAATAAAATCAAAGGGGAAAAAAAACTAAAAGAGCTGTGTTAAGGTCATTTCTTTCACTTGACTCAAAAAAATGTGTAATAGCATTTAAAGATTAACTACAGAGAATTAGAACGGATTGTCACATTGTTAAACTGAATGACTCAATGGCTGTTTGCAAATTTGTGTGGAAGTCTTTATTCCACTCCAGTGGATCACGAGGAAATTTTGAGCTTCATTACCTTTAATGTGAGTATAAATAGAAGAGTAGAGACCCCTTCATTGACCTTGTTTTTGGAAGCACATTCGATGAAAGCCTCTGTGATTTTTCGTCATTATCATTTTATCACATACCATTCATAATGGCTTTGCCTTTCTCACAACATAGACAAAGAGCTGCCCAGTGCATTGGGTAGATTTTAGTCTAAGAGGCTATTAACTACACAAATTGTTGTTTTAAGTAAGCTAGTAACTGGGAATCTGACTTGTACTAGTTTTCTGAAAGAAAAAAAAAAAAAGCAGTGGCTACTTAACATACAGTAAAGGAAGATGGATTCACAGTTTACAAAAAAAAAAAAAAAAAAAAAGGAAGGAAAGGTAGAATATAAATTATCAATTCCAAAAAAAAGGGTGGGCAGAGGACACCAGCTATGAGAGCAAACAGTTTGGGCAGATAAACAGGAGAAATTCTTTCAAGAGTGATAGAGAAATATTCTAAAAAAAATCTATGAGATCTATGTGATCTTTTTTGTTTTTTTTGTTGTTGTTTTGTTTGGGCTTTTTTTTTTTTTTTTTTTTTTTTTTTGTCTAGTTTCATTGTAGCCTGTTCTTCAGTTAAAAGTTGTTAATGAAGAGTTCACTTATTCAGTGAAAGATCTGACAATACAACCAACTGTCAATAGTTATTCCATCAAATATATGCTCATGTCCTCACTCAAAAAGTATTATTTGCATTTTTTTTCTTTTCTCCTGACTCTGTAATAAATTTCAAATGTACATGGAGGAGGAATAAAAGAAAAAAGATTTAAAATAATCCTTAATCTTAAAGGATTAAGATGATCGTTAATAAAGATATTCTTAAATTAGGATTATTTAACTAGCAACATACTTGTAGAAAAAAATATCATTCAAATGTTTAATATAAAGAGGAAACTATCCCTCCGTTGGATCTGTCTTATTTCCACATGGCATAGTATCCTTTGAAACACTTTATGGGATGGTTTAACCTTAATAAGCAAATGAAATTTCAAGAAAGGGAAACTAATTTTCACTCAATTTATTTGCCTTAAAAAAATGAAAATGAAATTACACTTGAAATAAGCCAGAAATGTAACATTCACTTACCAAAATAGAAACACATCATGAAGCTGCTGCACAAAGAAATATTAGAGCAAGAAGTAACTCAATTTCATACTGTGTAATTTAAATGTATTGTAACTAATTAAAATTAATCTAATTGCAAGTGTCTCTGCAATATGGTTCAATTAGTTCCTTTAAATGTTGCACTAGAAAAGTCTAAAATTATCTTTAAGCAAAACAGAAAAGATAATCACTACATTTCATCTAATCAGGTACCACCTAACTTCTTATAAGAGTAAGAGAGAGAATTGGTTATCCACACTGCCCTCTGCTTCAGACTAATCCTACTTTCAGAAACTAATTTAAGCATTACTTTTGGGAAAAGTCCATAACTATCAATCCTTCCCACCCAGGAAGATATCATCACACCCCCACCCCGCAGGTACCCTGATATTTGTGTTCTCAGTGTGATTAGTACTCGTCCTTTGTAGCACTTCTTAAGATCATGAGTAACTACTGTGTAAGTATTCCTGCAACATTCATATTACCTGTTAGGTCACAAAATTTATGAGGACAGGAAACATTACTGTCATTTCAGTATCCTCAATGTCAAAAATAATTCTGGTATAGCATGGATGTTAAGAATATATTGAAAATAGATTAGTATGGCGAGCACCTAGAAACAGGTGAATTCTGTTGGTTCTGCTCTGTTCTTTCCTGTTCTCTTTCCCACTTTGGCTCTGAGCATTTTATCATTGTGCCTTTTATTACTTCTGTATTACTTTGATTATAACATGCAATCATGGAAGGCGTTTGGTGACTAACTATATTTAGGATATAATCCCAACCTTCAGAAACTTTTTAGTAAGTAGAATATTCATAATACTAGACTTTAAAAAGTACATAGCAAACTATCCCTGAAAAATATAACAAGGAAAAAACATCACGTTATGTGAAGTTTGCCTTAAAAGGCAAAATAGCAATGTCTTTGGTAGAGATTATATCAATTCACTTTTTAAAATGCCTACAGAGGCCATGAAGAAAGTCCAGAGAAATCAGAAGGATGTTTGAACAACTGAAAAATAATAGTTATGAAGAAAGGTTAAGAAAACCGAGACCTGGTTTTGTAAAAGAGACAATAGGAATTATTCTTTCAAAACAAGGACTGTAATGAACAGGATGATAACCAGTGTTTCTTATATCCACTTGAAGTAGGTAAGAGGAGGACATAAATAGGAAAGCTGAGAGGGAATGTATTGTTAAGGGATGGCAACCCTAGAATACATTGTTAGCAAACATTGTCATACACATGTTTGTGTATATTTGGTATAAATAATGGACTGTAACATTTTAAAGTTCAAAAAGTTGTTCAGGGGTTTTTCAAGATGCCCACATTTATCTTCCAACAAGGAAAACAACAACAAAAAAATTTTTGTATTTCAATTCATCACTTTAAGCGTATGTCATTATTACCAAGTTGCAATTAACTGGTTTTTTTTTTCACATTAATTTGTTTTATTGAATTCAACTTTGACTTAATCTTCTGGTTTCTCAAGTGTAAAATTTTCTACATTTGCTGGATGAAGTCAGAGATAAATAAGATTAGGAGAAACAAATTTTAAAACATCAGGTGCAGAAGGATCATTGCTGCCATAAAATCTTTTGTGACTGGTTATTTCAAGTTACCCAGGAGTGAGAGAAGAGGAAGGGGCAGAGGTTAGGGCAGAACCTGTTGCCCCCACCCACCTCTATACATGCCCTTCCAATAACTCGCAACATACCCAGGAGAAACCCTGTGGCTTTTTCAGCAATCTTTAAAATTCACTGACCCAGACAAGATGACTCATTACACTCATGCAGGTTTTTATAGCTCACAAAATGATTTAAAGCATATTGTCCATGTTCTTCCTGCCTTAGCAATCAGAATCTATTTAAGCATATCATTTCAAATCTTCTGGTAATGACTTTTTAAGGGTGATCATAAGTCTAGTTGTATTAGGTATAATGAGGAAAGGAAAAACAGCTTAATTTAGAATGAACTGTTTTCCTTACAAAATTATGGGGATGCATATTGTTTCCTTCTCTTTTTAAAAACACTTGAGATAAAGAGTTTATATTTTAAAAAGTACACCCCAAAATATTATTGCAGTCGATTTGGATATTGGACCAGTGTCTACTTCTCCAGTGTGCACAGTGTATGGGAACAGCAATACATTTGGAGTTCACAAAACAGCTTTCTTTTTAAAATACGAATTTAGAAAATGAGCTAGATTCAAAGAAAATCATTAATATTAATATATAGTGTTAACAAGCTGTTCTGACATTCATCCACTGGTAAGAGAGGGATTCCTGGGCCAAGAGGACAATGATACTCAAAACAGGGACAGGTGATGCTGGGCAGATGAGAAGACAACAGCATATTAATCACACGTGCTCCATGTCTGGCAGAGCAACTCACTGCACCATGCAGATCTCACTGGTTTCATTCAGCACAGCATCAACAGTGAGAGGGAAATAAGAGACTTGCCTTGGAGTAACCAGAGGGTGAGAAGGCCCTTGGTTCCCAGTGGAGGATGTGACTGAAAGTCGTTACTCAAGGGAAATTAAGAATAGTGCCTGGTCCATTTAATAAAGAGGGGTGCGTGGCTAGCAGACCTTATTCTTGGGAGGAGAGTAGAGAATTAGTGGTTAAGCCAGAAGAGAAAGAAATCAAGGAATCTATTGCACCAAAAAGAATAAAATATTTAAACCGAAAAAAGGAGGCAAAGGACAGAGATCATGAGAACTATAAGATGTTGTTACATGAAATAGAAAAAGACACAAAGAAATGGAGACATATCCCTGCTCATGGATTGGAAGAACAATGTTAAAATGACTATTTTACCCAAAGCAATATACAGATTTAAGGCAATCAAAGTTTCAGTGGCATTCTTCAAAGACATAGAACAAACATTACTGAAACTCAAGATAGCCCACAATGGTTTAAGATCTTAAACTATATATATTTATCTTTATACCAATCCAGTCATGAAATATAGTTGCTAATACATTTTATGGAGGTAGGAACACAAAGAGCTTAAGAGTCTAGGTCCTATGAAAGTCATGTGTGGCCCTGCCTGGAATTGATAATACAGAATTAGTATGTCTTCCGTCTGTTTCAGGACTAAAACAAATCCTGTCATTAACTTTGAGATCCTTCACAATCTTTCTCTATTCTCAACCTCCAAATTTAAAAATGATTGCACCCATACCTGAAAGTTACCGTATGTAAGATGTGTAGAAGAATTGCACCAGAACACGTGCTTGATGTGGTTTTCTTCTCTGAAAAGATACCATGTTCCTCTATATCTCCAAACTATGTTGCTTATCTACAAAGGAATATTACTAAGATTAAATCACTGAAGTAGGCAAAGAATCTCCTGCAGTGGTCAGTCAGTAAGGGTTACTTGGATTATAAATTACTACAATTATCTTTGTCTGACTTTATTATCTTCTAATACTCTCTATAGATTTTGTCTGAACATTAGTAGGCATTCAAAACTTAGTAAACGAATGGATGGTAGATTAAGTAAATGAACTTGCATGTACACAAGTGTCCTTGTCTTTATTCACATTACTTAGAATGTCCACTCCACGCTTGGCTTATCTACATTCTGTCCATTAAAAGGCTTTCATCTCATAATTTAACAACTTTTGCTAACTTCACTAAATTTTTGAAGAACTGACTCTCTAAAACACTAATTTTGAACTGTCTTGATTATTAATGACTTATTTTATTTCTGAGCTCCCTAGATGGAAGACCTCTAGATTTTTTTTTCTTTTTTCTTTTTTTTTTTTTTCTGTACGCTGCACAGTACTCAGTGCTTACTGGATTATTATTTGTATAGTCAGCCATCTGTTTCCCATTACTATGTTTTTTTTTTATTCATTATTTTTTTTAATTTTATTTTTATATTCCCCATACAATTTCAACCCCCCCATTCTGACCCCAATCCCTCCCCTCCCGCCCCCACCCCCCAAAAAGTATCTCTGGTTCATAGTTTTTTGTTGATTTTGATTTTCACTTTCTTATAGTTATTCATTTTCCTGGTCCCTTATTTAAGTTTTCTAGATTCCTGCTATGAGTGAGACCATCCGGTATTTTTCTTTTTCTTTTTGGCTTATTTCACTGAGCATGATCCCTTCCAGTGCCATCCATGTTGCTGCAAATTGCATGTGTTTGTCTTTTTTGAATGCTGAGTAATATTCCATGGTGTATATGTACCACATCTTCTTGATCCAGTCATCTATTTTTGGGCATTTGGGCTATTTCCAAAGCTTAGCTATTGTAAATAGTGCTGCTATAAACATAGGGGTGCAGGTGTCCTTTGGAATTGATGTTTCTGTGTCCATTGGGTAAATACCTAGGAGTGGAATTGCTGGATCATATGGAAGCTCTATGTTTAGTAGGTCCAGAAATCTCCACACAGCTCTCCATAGTGGTTGGACCAGTTTGCACTCCCACCAACAGTGCAGAAGAGTTCCTTTTTCTCCGCATCCTCGCCAACATTTGTTGTTGCTAGTTTTTTTAATATGTGCCATTCTCACTGGTGTAAGATGGTATCTCATGGTAGTTTTGATTTGCATTTCCCTGATTACAAGTGATGTTGAACATTTTTTTATATGCCTGTTGGCCATTTGCATTTCCTCTTCAGAGAAGTTTCTTTTTAGCTCTTCTGCCCATTTTTGGACTGGATTAGTTTCTTTGTTGTTGTTGAGTCTCATTTTTTCTTTTAAAGATTTATTTATTTTTTATACAAGAACAGGAGTCCAGGCCAAATGCGCAGGAGGGTGAGAGGATTTACCAGAGACAGAGCAGGGAACAGAACAGGAAGACTGACAAAATAATACACTGCTGAGGGGAGCAGCAGGCTAGACAGGAGAGGTCTGCCGCGCCATGGGGTACCCTCGCCAACCGGCTGGATGGAACCGGTGCTGCAGATGCTGGGGACAGCTTCACAGGGCTGTGCTCAACTGCCTGTGCCACCAGGGGAGGCCCAAGACCTCTAGATTTTAAAGAACAAGTAAGTAGCAGTCTTTTCCTCTCCATTCTTGCTTCTCCTGCCTTTTTTCCTTGCAGAATCCTCATCCTTCTAAGTCATTTAGACTCAAAACTTCAATTTCCACCGGTAAATGGAGATTTGTGAGGATCCTGGAGTGAATGTTGTCCCTATGTGTTGGGGTGGTTTTACTGGCAAAGAGCAGAAATTAGAAGAAGGAGAGCTTAACTCACTTATCTAGAAAACCACATACATTTCATCTTCCTCGATGATCCAAGGTTTCATATCCTCTGTGTTTCCTCAACTTTTTCATGCTCCCACATTGCGTCTCAATCATTTACACTGTGTTGTCTCTGAAATTCTTCCTGTATGTGCAATTTCCAGTTCTTTCTATTTGCTATAAGTCAGGCCTTCGAATACTCTTCTGAATAATTTAAATAGCCTCTAAATTGGTCTCTCTGTCTCTAGGTTATATGATCTTTAGTTTGTCTGATATCTTTCCACTGGAATTATCTTTAGAAAATTGTAAATTTTTTACTCAAAAGATAATCCTTGATTTAAATATTCAGTTGGCTACTCAATATCCAGTTTTTCATAGTACAAAGTCAGGTTCAAATTCTTTTTCCTAGAATTATAGATTCCCTATAATATTTCAATGGCTATTTTTTTCCAGTCATACCACATATCATATCACATCCCTTAACTGTTGTGTAATTTCGATTCATAACTGTCTGTCCATGAACTGACCTCTTAAGTTATGACCCTATCATCCTGAGCAGTTCCAAGCTCAAATATGTTAATCTTTTTTGTATCCTCTTCCAGGAAGTCTTTATCTACTGTTCCCTGTGCTATAAGATTTGTAAACATTTTGTCCATTCTTCAGTCAAGTATTTTTCACAATTTATCTTAGAGTAATAAGTGTTAGAAGTGGAGAAGGTAATTCCCTACGAGATGCTGAAATTCTGTCTGACAAAAATTAATGTCTGATTATTGTTCTCTCCCTAATAGTACTTAGAAGTATGCATTGCCCACAGTAGGCAATCAATAAATGTTGTTGAATTGAGTCTTTTCTCCTGAACTGTAAGAGGAAAAGCCTCTAGGATTTTAGCGTTAGAAAAAAATATTCCAATTAGATCTAGCCACCTAAAGTAGAACAAAAAGTCGATATATGTTGTTCTATGCATTGCCTCATTAATCACCTTATTTCTTTCTTCAAATTTGAGTACAGCCATTATTTATTTTTATCGAGGAATTTTGTGAATTTTCAGGGAAAAAATCAGCAAGTAATACACTAATTTTTCTCAGTAGCAACACAGTTGAAATTTTATCCTAAGAAAAAATTTTTATTTTAAAGATAAAGGTTTCCATGGATAGAGGATTTTTAAATACAAGTTAAACTATTTTGAACCAATCTCTATGCCACAAGATTGCAATACATTTTTAATGTATTGTGACTATCAAACAGAAAGAAACAATGTATAGAATTCCCTAAGCATATTGTTCTACAGAAAACTTTTCTCCCGGAGCATATTGCATATTGATGAGGTGGTGTTTAGGGGATTATTTTGGGAAACATTCTTTATGAACATTAATCTATCTTAATGTAAGTATACATTTATTTTAAAGACTACATCACTCTTGCAAGAGATTGAAAACTTAATTACTAACCTACTTAAATAAGCATTTCAAAATATCTCTCTGAAAAGGATCCAAGCAAAATTTTATTTACAATACAAATGTAAGCATGTTAACAATTCCTTATAATATTAACGAGACTTATCTACATTCTTTGGAAATCATTAAATGCTTGATTAAAACAGTTCACATATACTTTTTCAGTCAAAACAGCCAATAAATAATTTTTTAAACTTATGAGTTTTCAGCATGAAAACTTAATTTTATGGACAATTTAATTTTATGACATTTTGGGACTGAGGATGTTACTGAACAACCTGAACTCACATAATTTTTAAGCATTTGGTTTTTACCCAATAAAAATCCTTTTCTTTATGCAACAATCAAGTCTATTTATAAATATCCTCCTTGGTTGAACTTATTTGATAATTTTATTTTTGTGAATTGCTATAAGCTAAACTCAACCACATGTTAAGTATGAGATTCTTGGGTAAGGATTAAAAGTTAAAGAGATAGCCAATCAATGCTAGTCTAAATACTTATTGATAGAAAGTAAAATTGATTTGATCAAATATTGATTTTTTTGTTAAAATATCTTTTAAATTTTAAAATACTTTTAAGTACAGAAAGTAACAGAAGTTCTTGTCCAACCACCTTTATGGTGCATATATGTGTCTACAAGATCATGAAAGTTAATGGGGAAGAATGTCTGATGTTATAAAGACTAGAAAATATAAGTTCTTTCATCTGCAGTGGGGGATAGCAGAAAGGATGGAAGGTCAAGATGGACTGGGAATGGCAGGGGCAGAGCAGGAACCCTCCTTCCACACCGGGACCCTAGCCCTGCCCACTTTGAGGTCCCTGCCATTCAAGGTACAGTCAGGAATCCCTCAGTTCCCTCAGGTAAAGGGGGGCATGGGAGATTGAGACTGATCTGAGCTGCTGGGGGAAGAGACAGGTCATTGTTCACTCTGCTCATGGAGGTCTCAGGTCATGGCCTGGACAATTTTCCATTTCCCCAGTGAGCAGAAGGCAACTACTGGTAGACATAAGATTGAATGTGGTGGTGGTGGATATAGGGATGTAGGGATAAAGTGGTAAGGAAGCTGAGAGAGGAGGCACTACACTCTAGAGCACCCCACCTTGGGGATGAGGAGTTGTCTGGTGGCATGTCTCTGAGGTCGATGCTGTAGCGTTTACCCATTGGGGCAGGAGGTGACCCAAGGATGAGGGTGGTGGAATTACTGTGATTCCATTGTGACCCATTGGCCTAGGTCACACAGGCCATGGTGATCATTTGCTGGCTTGACTACTGGTGGACATGGATAGTATGCATAGTAGCTAGGAGGAGAAAGCTCCTCTGAAGAGACTGGGAAGACGGTTCTGGTAGCAGAAAAGGCAACACAAATCTCAGGAACCCTGAGTATACAGATACTGCTGTGACTTTTACAGATACTGCTGAGACCTGCCCCACCTAGTGCTGAACTGGATTATAGCTATCTCCAGTAGTCAAAGTAGCCAGCATTAGCTGGTGGGCATCATTTGGATAGGACAGGTGAATGGTGGCAAAAAGGGCATGGGGTGTGTGCTGCTCTGCAGAAGTGTGCTTCCCCTCTTCAATGCATTGGTCATGGTTCTCAATGGCAATCCACAAGTGGTACAGGGGACTCAATTCAAACTCTTACATCAAGTATCCTGCATACTTCCCCTACTGAAGGAACTGTTTTGCATTTCCTTCTCTAAGAGGACCATATACGAAAGACTGCTTATACAGGTGGCCTTTATATTGTAGTCCTCATTAAACATGAACATTTCATGGAGTCCATCCACTGAACATGTGTGATTTGGGGTCTTAGACATTGCTGCTGTTACCCTGTCCCTGCATTGAAGCACCTTTTCTTTGTATTCCCCATTTACCTTCAAGTTCATAGTCATCATTGAATCAGTGAACTTGTATTTAATATCATGGTTGAACTTTTTGGAAGGAAACAAGTATGACATCATTTGATTTAAACTCTTTGATTCCATATTGTTTCTTTGGTAAGGGCCTCCTGCTGGCTCAGAAGCTTTCTATGCACAGTGTTTACAGGAAGTTCAAAGGTAAGGTGCAGAGTCTTGAAGATACCTTCATAAGTGATACAATACTTCCCCATCCATCAAAAGTGGAGACCACAACAGATGTACAAAATGCAGCATTCTTGGAATTATAGACACCCTCAAATGCCTGGGACTGCGAGTCTCTTCTTACTGTGCTTATTTCCTGGTACCATCTATGGCCTCTGTCCCAGAACTTTCCTGTTATATCAGCTGTGGGGGTTGTGGATTTTCCAAGTTTCTGATGATTTCAAAGTCTTTTTCAGATGTTCCTTTATGTCCTTCTGCATTTTAGTATTTGCATGTTTTGAGCTACTCAAACCAGCTGAGCTGGTTTGGTAGCAGCAGCCAAACCCTGGAGGGAGAAGTGGCTCTCAGAGATTTGAGATGGAGGCCAGGAGACTAGGAGACTGCCATTGGGAAGACCATCAGAACACAGCCTAATCATAACAGTGATTTAAACACTGTCTTGCTATTGTTTTAGACCAAATGGATGGGTGTTTTCATAAATATGAAATGTACAGTACATACTAGGGAAAAGTTATATTATGTCTAAAATACCTTAAAATTTCTGCTTATTGTAAGGACTGCAATATTTACTATTACCTCAATTCTCAAATGAGTCTATATATACATTTCTTCAGTTTATAATTTAGGAGTCATAAAGTTAACAAAAAAAATTGAGACCATAACTAGCTTATGTGATAAAATTCCAACATGTGATAACACTTTTTACAGTTTGTTCCTAGCCCTTGAGTCATCATTAGTGGGTTTGGGTCATGTTCTTAAGCTTATTCAATCATAAGACATGTGGTCTTACTTTTTCTGTTTGGGACAAGCCAGATGTGTGACTATCTATGATGCAAACCCTGGAATCAGCTTCCCTGTGTTACTAAATTGTAATTGTTTCTAGCAGCTGAAGGAGTCTATATTACTTCAGAGAAAACTATTCTACAGGAAAAAGGGAAGTGAGTTAAAATAAATACTCAGAGGAAAATAGAGGAGAGAGTGAGAAAAAGAGAGATTTTCCAAGTTTCTGATGATATCAAAGTCTTTTTCAGATGTTTCTTTATGCCTTTCTGCATTTTAGTATTTGCATGTTTTGAGCTACTCATACATTTGATCTTTTTTTTAATCCTCTGCCTCTGATCACATACAGAGTTGTAAACCAATGTCACCTCAGTTCAAAACAAGGGAAAGAAAAAGGAAATAAAAATCAAATCATTTTGCTTAAGCCATAGAAAAGTTTTAAAGACCTCATTCATAAAATTAACTTCTACATCATTGTCTATACAGCAAATGATTGTCAACACTGTCTAGCCCAAGGTCACCAGGAGTGCACCTGTGGCTGAATAAGTTGGGTTTAATGGTACTTTGCATCAAGGGAAAACACTCAGCAGGGAACTGGAGAGCAGAAGAGGGTATTAGAACAATATTATTATAGGATTTGTAATTATGATTTGTGGAGAGGTTTCAGGGAAGCTCAGGAAATGTGGATAACTGTGATTGGGTATCTGGATTGAAGCTAAAGATGTAATTGGTAAAGAGGCAACAAGCACTCATCTTGATCACAATTGGTTATTTGGTGTGAAAAATGTTCATGGCTATTACTTGTTCAGACATTATTACTGAGTGGTCTTATTTTTGTCCTGATGCAAAGTGATCATAGAGTAGCCTCACCTTATATTTATGTTCTGCAAATTATTTATCAGGAGAACACCAAATTTCAGCTAGAGACTTCAGGTGTTACTTTTCTCTTTCTCATTAAAAACTGGCCTGACTTGCTCATTAATACCTCCTTATGAAAGGACCAGTCATAGTCAATTCAATCTGGCCAAGGAGGTCCATTTTCTGTGGTCATCCAGACTCTTTGTGTTTGAAATCAATCTTCTCTGGAACCCATGCTTACCTTGTTCCGAGCCAACAGTACAATGGTGAGTATTCATCTGTGTGAAAGAAAGCAATTTTGGTTATAAAAATGTTCATCTCCAAATTGAGCAAAAATTCAAACATCAGGTGGTGCAGCGGTTGAGCGCTGGGTTGCGAAGCTGCCCGCAGCCTCTGCAGCGCCGGTTCAATCCCCGGCCACCAGCTAGGGGCCCATGTGGCGCGCAGACTTCTCCTGCCGCCACCGCTGCTCCCCTCAGCAATGTATTTCTTTGTCAGTCTACCTGTTCTGTTCCCCGCTCTGGCTCTGATGAGTTCTCTCGCCCTCCCGCGCTTCTGCCTGTACCCAATGCTTGTATAAATAAATAAATAAATCTTTAAAAAAAAAAAAAAAAAGTTCAAACATCAAATGTAGCCTTTTCATCCACTGTTTCCAAAGTGCTAAAGCTTGCTCCTATTTGCACCATTTTTTGCAATGTTTAAGTATCCAATTTTTGCTCTAGGACAAGCCTGTCATAATTGCCACTTCAATCCTATCTACCCACTCATTTCCCTTTCTTTTTGCTCTCTGCTCAGTGCAACATCTGGCAGAACTTCTCAGTGATTGGGGGAAAAAATAGACTTTTTATCCTTTGATTTTTGTTAGAAAGAAAATGCCTTCTAGTTTGAAAACAAAGTTAAGGATTCAGAAATTACCAGGGAAACCTTCCTCCAATGGAATGGCTGTGATTATAATTCTATGATATCCTCTCTACATCGTTACCAAATGCCACTCTTGCTGTAGAGATGTCCATGTTTAATAGTTTTATTTTACTTTAATTTTATGAAGATTATTTCACACAATCTTTATTTCTATTTTTTCTTTATGCTGTTGTCCTAAAAATTATTGTGCTTTAATAAACCCTTGGTAAAGCAATTTTTTGTTCTATTTTTCACTAAATTACAAGAAAGGAAACTACACTTAATAAAAATATTTTTGACCTTGTATATATTTTTAAATGACTGCTTTTATCTTGAACTTAATACTGTGGCAGTTTTATTCATTGTATTATTACAAAAAGTATTATCAGACAATTATTAATTGTATTTATTGGAGTATATACTTCTATTCCCAATTCTCTCTGGTTTTTTTTTTTTAGTTAGCTAATATCACTTTATTACCTAAATGTCCAGTGTACAGATTTATATTTCAATATCTGTATATACTACATTATGACCATTCCCCAAAGTCTAGTCTCCATCTACCACCATACAATTGACCCCCCTTGACCAGCTTTACCACCTCTTTACCCTCTTCCCCTCTGGTAGCCATCATTCTGTAGTTAGCATCCAAGTGCTTGCTCTTGTGTTGTTTTGTTTGTTCATTTATTTTGTTTGTTTACTATCTGCATGCCAATAAAATCATACGCTTTTTGTCTTCCTCCATCTGACTTATTTCACTTGTCAAAATCCCCTGAAGCCTCATCCAGGTTGCTGCAGATGGCAAGATTTCATCTTTTTTTTTTTAAATATGAGTCGTTTTCCATCATGTTTATATAGCACATCTTCTTCTCCATTGATCCATTAATGGATATTTTTCAATAAATAATGCTGTAATGAATAGTACAGATCTTTTCAAATTAGTGTTTTCTTATTCTTTGGATGAATATCTAGAATTTGAATAGCTTGTTCATATAGTATGTATTTTTTTTTCTTTTTTAGGAATCTCCATACTGTTTTCTATATTATTTGGCACCAATGGACAGTCCCACCAACAGTGTGGGACTTTTTAATAAGTAATGACAAACATTTTTTCTAGTACCTGTTAGCCATCTGTCTGTTATTAAGATATAATTGACATAGGACATTATTTTAGTTTAAAGTGTGTAACATAATGATTTGATATTTGTATACACTGCAAAATGATTGCCCACCAATAAAGTGAGCACGGTATGACTTTCTAATGGAAAACTAAAGAGCAAAAACCACATAGCTGACAGTCAAGTAGGCAAACCATCCAAGGCCTGAAAGCATGCTTCTGAAGTTACAACATTATTGTTACAAACAGGAATTTTGAAGTCAAGCTAACTGAATTAAAACATTAAGTACTCTACTTACAAGCTGTAAGACTGTAGTTGAGTTACTTAATCTCTCTATGCTATTGTTGATTTAACTGTAAATAGCATTTATCTTAGAAGGTTACTGTGAATCTAAAAGAGAAAATACATAATGAATTGATCAGAACTCTTGGAACAGAGTAAGAATA